GGCTCTTTTTTTTTTTTTTTTTTTTTTTGGTTTTTCGAGACAGGGTTTCTCTGTGTAGCCCGGGCTGTCCTGGAACTCACTTTGTAGAGCAGGCTGGCCTCGAATTCAGAAATCCGCCTGCCTCTGCCTCCCAAGTGCTGGGATTACAGGCGTGCGCCACCACTGCCCGGCAGTAAAGGCTCATCTTAAGAGCAAGTCTCATATGCAATTCTGAAACACTTGCTGAAGAAAGCTGAGCGGCCAGCTGAACTGATGAAACACACATATGCACACAACTACAGTTTAATTTTACCAGCAGCCACCCTGATAATATCAGCAAGGAAACATCTTAATCATAGCCACAGAACAAATAACTCCATGTCTCCTACTGGGATAATTCATTCAGGTGATAGCTATCAAGGAAAATGATAAACAAGGGTACTTCTGGTTGAGATTTCTCTCTCTGAGGCACAGTGTGTTTCTTACATATACAGTCCTTGGTTCTCAGGGACTTTTTCTTCACCCCATCAAACCAAATACCGACTAAATAAACTTGATATACCTTTGCTGAGCTAATTTTTTTTTTTTTTTAACAAAAGCATTTGGTCTCACATGCTGCCAATCTTCAAGTGCTGCCCATGTAAAATTAACCGACATCAGGTATAAGATAAGGGCCTGGGAAGAAAGGGAAAACTCTAGAATGTAACTAATTTATTAAGCACATTCTGGATTAGCAAAAGCAGCCTCCGGTACTTACTAATAAGAATGTTACTGCATTTTTGGATCTTGTAGCCTCAAATCTCAACTAATGAGTCAGTGTCTGGCTCAGTTAAAAAACACACTCTTGAAGAAAATCAGAGCGTAGCTTCCAATGTACCAGCTACTTCATCAATCAAAACAAAATAACCATAAAAACAAACAAACATTCCCTAGCAAGGCACAGCATAGCACTTAAAATGATGAAGGAGTAATAGGCACTTTGGCAGAGAGAGGAAGAGAACACAGACACTACCTAGTATAGGTACCTTCCCCCCACCCCCTCCACCCCCCCACACCAGTCCAAGTGTTAGCTGCCCCCATTTCACAGATCAGGAAACAGAGTCCCTAAAAGTAAAATAACTTGCCTGAGGATACAGCTAGCAAGCTATCGGTTAGAACACAGGTCTGTCTGATTTAACAGCTCTGTGTTCTGCTCAGCATCATTGCTGCCTACTGTAAGTACGAATTTTGCTCTAACCTCCACTTCAGATCTTAAAATACTATCTTACTATGTTTGGAGTTTAAAAAAAAATCTTTTATTAGAATAAAATTCTGAAAAGTGAAACCCAACCTTTTTTTCTAAAAAAAAAAATACAAAACAACCTTTGGTAAGGGTCTGGAATCTTTTACGTGAATTCTGACAAGTTTGGGTTTCTAAGCACAACTTGAAACTATATGAACTAAAACTAAAGCTATATAGTTGTCGTTGGCCCCTTACTGTATGCTGCTGGGTGACAAAAACACTAGAATCCAGCAAAAGAAGAATAAATGCAAAGCTGTATAGAAGGAAACCATGTCTATCTCGGCTGTGAAACTATGGAACGATCGATTTCCACATTAAACATTCAGACATTCTGTTTATACTCGTTATCTGTGAGCAGATACCAGGCAGCAATCAATCAACCCAAGGTGAAGTGTCCAAGTTCAAAACCCGGTCCTAATTGTGGAAAGTACATCTTTTCTTTTTAATTAGGAGAAAGAAAGAAAGAAAAAAACAAAACACCTAGGCTCTGCCATAAAGAAAATGTATATAAATTTCCGTTTGGAAAAAAAAAACATACAAACAAACTTGAATTTGAAAAAGTAGACCTTCTTTAATTCTTCAGTAGTTTCTAAATTCTAATTTGTTACTCTGAGAGCACAGACAATTATTTACCTACAAGGCATAAGAGTTCAAAGAGTTCGCCCGCGTTAACAACGTGGCTGGCCCGCGGGTCTCATGGCCACGCATGTCAGTCTTCCACCAGGACACCTGGTACATGATGTGCCATATTAAAGGGAACACGGTACCTTCAAAGAGGCCATTAAATAGAACCAGTACAAGTGTGCCATGCCCACATCCTGAACAGTGCATTTAAAAGAAAAATATTTTAAACCCTCAGTTCTTCCAACCAGAAAATGAAAATAGCCATGTCGGCCCACAAAATGTCCTCTTTAGCCAAAGTGTTCAAATCCTGAGTGGATAGAGTTAAATAAATATAAACCGACATTCTTCTCAAAAAAAAAAAAAAAACAAAAAAAACAAAAAAAACAAAACCGAGAAGATGTTTCTGACGACCGACCCCACACGTGAGACAGCTTTAAGTTTTGCAGTACACCTCTGGCCCACACACCGGGTCTTTAAAAGGGTTCAAATGCCCATAAGCATAACTTGCTTAATGACGCCTTCACTGTCTAGCAAAAATACTGATAGGAAGCCCCCAGCCTCCGAATACAAAGAAACCTTCGGGTCAGGTAAGCAGAACCCAGGGGCCGGGTAAAAACGCCGTACCCATTCCCGGCTGCAATCGCTTCCCAAAGTCTCACTTTTAAAAATACAAAAATACAAAAAAACAAACAAACGAAAAAAAAAAAACTTTCAAGCAAAGATTCAAAACTCGAGTCACCACCCGCTTCTCCCGGTTTCGGGTGTCCTTCCGCGGCCACCGCGGCAGTGCGGGCGCCCACCTGTGGAGACGGCGGGGCAGGTGGGCAGCGCGCCCAGGGCCCGGCCTTCGGGAGACAGCCCCGAGTCGCGCGCGTCCCGGGCCCTGGAGCCGCTGTCTGCCTCGGCCGCGCTGGCCCCGGAGGCGCCTCGGAGGGCGGACGCCTATGTGTGGCCGGCCGCCGCAGCTCCCACCGCCAAGCCTCCCGCAGCTGCCTCAGCCGAGGCGCCAGGCCTCCCGCCGCTGCGGCCCGGCTCGGACTCCAGTCCCCGCCACCGCGCGACTCTCCTCTGGCCGCGAGCCGGCCCGTCCCCGCACTGCACTCCCCTGGTTACTCACCCCGGGGCCGGGCGGCGGTAGCAGCAGCGCCAGCAGGAGCAACAGCCACCGGGCCGGCATGGCGGGGACGTGGCCCTGACTCTGGGCCCCGCCGGCCGGTTCTGAGGACCGCGCGGACAGAGGGCTGAACGGGGGCGCCGCGACGACAGCGCGACTCCGGCGGAGGATCGCTGGACACGGAGCTGACTGGGCGGCGGCGACACCCCCATTCCCAGCCCTATAAGTGCCTTGTGCCCCGGCTTCTTCCGGTCGGGGCGGGCTAAAGGGCGGTCCCGGGGGCGGGGGCTGTGAAAGGCGGAGTCATTGCCTGGATGGGGAGGAGCCTACGCTGTTTTGTGGGCGTGGTAAGCGCGGGAGGGTGGGGTTAGATACCGACTCCGTGCTGTCTTCTGGCCGCTTCCTATCCTTTCGGGCGCTAGAACCCGAAGACCACTTCTTGGCTTTGAGTATTTGTGGACGCTGTGCTTCTGAATGGAGAAGCTTGTCCGCAAGCTAAAGGAAAATGACATCTGTCAACCCACAGGAAGCCCCACTCTCCAGATGAAGGATCCACGGCGCCAGGCTTGCTCTGGTAGAAGGGAATGCCTGCCTACAAGCACTCCGTCTCCCTGCTGCCAGCTACCACTTACTAGGGTTGCCTAGGCGACCTCTAGAGCAAGGGTTTCAGCAGCTGGCGGAAATTCGGCCCTGATCCGCAGCCCTAGAGTTCACTAAGGAGGGTCCTCCAGCTGTGCTTCATCCAGCCCGAAGGCCCCTTTCTTCCCTAGCCTTGCCTTCAGGAATTCCCCCCAAGTTGTGTCCAGCAGCCATCCGTTCCTCTCGGGATGAACCACAGCCAACTCATTCACCAAAAATTATAAGGAAATCATGCGGCCTTCTTGTGTCACACGTGTTTACGTGACCTTTGTAGATGTGGCCTGCTGAAGCTTGAGAGGACATGTGTCACAACTCTTGGAGGGAGTAGGTGGGTGGGCTGAGGACTTCAAGGTCTATTTAAGGGTTGTGGGTTATTAATCAGAATTAATGAACCAAATAAGTTGTTTGGTCATTGGATCCCTCCACTGAGTTGGAAGAGGGAGGGGAGAACTTGTTCATAATAGGAAAGACAAAACATTCAGTGCTCGAGGAAAAAAAACAGCTTATTATTCTAGTAGCAGAAGGGAGTTGCTGGGAGTGTGGCTCCCTTGATAGAGCACTTGCATAGCCTGCGTGAGGTGCTGGGCTGCATCTCCAGCCCTCCTAAAACTGGATGTGCGGCCCCACACCTGAAATCTCAGCACCCTGGGGGGTGGAGACAGGGTTAGAAGTTCTAAGTAAGCCTTGGCTACCTAGTGAGTTTGAAGCCAGCCTAGGTTATGTGGGGCCATGGGACAGGGGAGGGCAGAGGTAAATTCTCTAATATTTCCCCTGGCTTGCTCCTTTGACAGCCCGTGGGAATTTTCGGGTTTTTGAAGAGAAAAAGTTATCCTAGTAGTATATGGAGGGTAGGGATTAGGAGTGGGCTGGACTAAGGGCCCAGTCTGTGTGTGCTTTGGGTCAACGCTATCCAACTGTAACAGACAGAACTGTCCCTAGGAAGACCAATCCTGTTCCCGCCTCTACCCCCACAACCTGGAGCAACTCCCATCGTGCTGCAGAAGCCAGCACCAGCTTGTGAAGGGAATTTTGGCAAGTTTGAAAGCAGCAGACACAATGCGAAGTGTTACCCACAAGTCTCAAGGCAAATAAGTTTGGGATTTGCAGAGAGAATGTGGAGGACTAGAAGCTCCGACGGTCCTGAGCATGGGGCCCCGGGTAGCCATGGAGCTCACCAATGATGCAGGCTGACAACAGGACCACATGCTTGGGTTTTCAAATAAAGGAGCCTGGAGCCAGTGGCATGACTCATGTTCACTCGCAGCAGATAATGTGTGATGTGCAAGCCCGAGTGCAGTCCTCCTATTAGTGAAAGGAGAGGCGAAGCTCCTGGAAGTTGACCTCTGACCTCTCATGCGCATTGTACCACATGCAAACCCACACTCATACTCACATGTCACACAGTAATAAACTTTTTAAGGTTTTTTTTTTTTTTTTTTTTAGTTTGGGAAAACTGCTTTGGGGCTGGAGAGATGGTTTAGCCCTTAAGCATGTGTGCTTCTTTCCCAGAGGATCCAAGTTCAAGTCCGGTCACCCAGGATGTGCCTCCAGGAACATCTAACACCCCTGGGCTCTGGAGACATCTGCACTCATAGATGTACACACAGAGACGCATATAAATTAAAAAGTGTTTTTTCTTGCATATTTTCTCCAATGTAATAAATCTAGGGATGGGCCTAGGGATGACAGAAGAGGACTGTTATACTAGGTTTTAGGAGGGAGAGGCACGAGGGTTAGTAATTCAAGGCCAACTTCAGCTACATAGTGAGTTAAGGCCAGCCTGGGCTACATGTAATACTACCTCAAAATGCAAGGGGGGGAAAAGGTCTGAGAGGGGAGTTTGCTGGGCTGGAACTCTTTGACAATTTCAAAGGTCACAGTGACCCTGTAAAGGTAGCAGATGGAGCACAAAAAGGAAGGGTGACCTCAATCTGACTCATAAATCAGTTTTAAACAAATTATTCTGAAACAAATAGAAGCCACCCGAAGAACATGAGCCAGGCAGGAATATTTACCTTGCAGGGAGCTGACAGAAACCCTGGGCTTTAATCCTGCTACATGTTCTTGGAATTTCCTCTGTACCACCGAGCTATTCTTAGGATTAGCCAGCCTACATGCCTATGTACTTCTCCCCTTGACTGGCGAGTCAGACTGACAGAGTGCTGGTGTTTTATTTACGGTCGAGTGGCCATAATCTTGCTCCAAAGTCACATGCAGAAAAAGAAACAACTTATGTTAAAGCAAAAGCTGGCATTGATAAATATATAAAAAAAAAAACCAAACTATTTTAGGGCTTCTCTGAAATAGACAGTAATTAATCTCTCTGGAATCTCATTAAATGGTTCCTTTTTTTTTTTTTTTTTTTTGGTTTTTTGAGACAGGGTTTCTCTATATAGCCCTGGCTGTCCTGGAACTCACTCTGTAGACCAGGCTAGCCTCGAACTCTCGAACTCAGAAATCTGCCTGCCTCTGCCTCCCAAGTGCTGGGATTAAAGGCGTGCGCCACCACGGCCCGGCAAATGGGTCCCTTTTTAAAAGGTCAAGATGAGGGGCTGGAGAGATGGCTCAGTGGTTAAGAGCACTGACTGTTCTTCCAGAGGTCCTGAGTTCAATTCCCAGCACCCACATGGTGGCTTACAACCATCTGTAATGGGATCTGATGCCCTCTTGTGGTATGTCTGAAGAGGGTGACAGTGTACTCATATACATAAAATAAATCTTTAAAAAAAAAAAAAAAAAAAAAAAAAAAAAAAAAAAAAAAAAAGGTCAAGATGAGATGACTCAACGGGTAATGGTTCTACCTGCTGTGGAGCCTGACCACCTGAGTTCAATCCCCAGAATCTACATGGTGGGAAGAAAAAACTGACTCCCAAAGTTGTTCTCTGAGCCCCATATGCACACTATGGCATGCATGCCCACACAAGTCCACATACACACAAATAAACACGATAAAACAAAAAATAAAGATTGAGGTTATGGTCTTAATGCAAAAAAAAAAAAAAATAGGCTGCCACATAAAAATACATCACATATAGAGAGACACACAGACACACACATTCATATATGCACGCATTAGATTCAACAAAGACTGACAGAAGGATTAGGTATGTCTGCAGAGGTTGAGAGGAAGTAAATTAACCAAATCTTATTTTTATTTTTCTTGAAGAGCTTCTAAAACAAAACAAAACTTATTTCCAATACCTTTTGAGCTTCCTTCCTTACTGATTCAGACTATATAGAGCAGAGTCTAGAAATCTGTGTATTTTACACTTCCCACGGGTGTCTGGAGGTGGCTGAGATCAGGCCAGTTACAGATAGCCAGTGTTCAAATGCACTGGCAGTGAGTCCTTAGAGTTTAAGAAAATGCTGCCATCTAGCGGAAGTTATGACCTAGACCTGGAGGCTTTTATGTTTAGTTGTTCTTTTTTCTTATTTTCATTTCATGTGCATTGGCATTTTGCCTCAACTGGCATTCTTCGTGAATGTGTGAATGTATGTCTGCGTGAGGACGTTAGATCCCCTGGAACTGGAGTTACAGACAGTAGTGAGCTGCCATGTGAGTGCTGGGAATTGAACCCAGGCACTCTGAAAGAGCAGCCAGTGTTCTCAAACTCTGAGCCATCTCTCCAGCCCCCTGGTCTTTTTGTTTTGTTTTGTTTTTTGTTTTTTTTTCCCAAGACAAGGTTTCTCTGTGTAGCCCTGGCTGTCCTGGAACTTGTTCTATAGACCAGGCTGGCTTCAGACTCAAAAGCTTGCATCCCTGTCACACAGCGACTTGGAGGCTTTTAATCTCGTTTACAACTTAAAATTTTGAATTTATGATTGTCAAGTTGATTTGCACAGCTACTTACGTTTTTTTTAACTGCATTTATTTCTTTAGTTGGGGGGATGCACTTGTGTGTGAAGGTCAGAGGACAATTTTCAGAAGCTGTTTCTCTCCACCCACCGTGTGGATCTCAGGGATCCAACTCAAATCCTGAAGCAATGCCCCAACCACCTTTACCGTGCTGAACCATCTTGTCAGCCCTTTTGAAAAGGGGTACTTTTTAGAAAAAGCTTGTAAAGGGAAGGCAATTTCTGAAAGCGCACATCTTTTAATTAGAATAAACCAAATCTTTTTCTTTTTTTAAGAGACCTCCAAGCTGTTGTTTGGAAAGACTTGAATTTACAATACTTGTGGCATGCAGGTATGGGTTATATAAAATGATGTAAGAAAAAAAAGATGCAAGTCCTTCCTAATTTAAGGTTTAAGAAAACCCTGGGTGTAGTTCCATCTGTGGGCTCTTCCTGTGAGAGAAGAGGAATGGAAAGGTCGTGGCTCTTGTTCTAGGCACAACTGTTGTCACAAGATGACACCCAGCACCCATACTGTTACTACTGTGTGTGCTTCAAACTGCAAATGCTTTCTCTCTCTCCTGTTCATTCCTTCCCCTTTTCCCTCCCCATCCCTTCTTTCTTCTGTGTTGGGGATCAGTCCCTAAACCTAAGTATGCCAGGCAAATGCTCTCCCACTGAGCTATCTGGGGCACAAAGGTTCTG